ACGTCTCTTTTTCTCTAAAATACAACAGTTTGTAATGATTCTACAATTGCTCAAATCGAGTAGGTAGTTTGTCGAAGTCCCCTAAAAATCCCCTAAAAAAATCTCGTCAGAGGAATTCCCACAGGACTTATCCAATGACTCTCGGTTTTCGCAAAACAATTCGAGAAAAAATGCCTGGGTCGAACGGAGGGAATTCAGAATTGGACGTTCGTAGAAAAATCACGGACGCCCCTACTCTATGGAAGGGTCTGACAATGGGACCAACTATACTCTTCCCTCTTGGAGAACATTTAGTGTGGCCTGCGCTCAGTTCCACAGTTTTGCGCGCGCCACTCACATGGGACGTATTGTTACAGGAAACTCCTAATAACCATAGTAACATAAATAAGATTCGCTGTTCAGTGAGTAAACTCTTACATTTCTTTCGCATAAAACACCGAATAAACTGTGAATATTAAAAAGGGACAATATTATGAGCGTCACGAGAGCTGTAGAATATCATTCGCAACAATGTTGACTGGTTTCGTGAAATTGAGACGTCGTAGAAGGAGGCCGTCGAAAAGAGTGTCTTTGAGATCAATCGAAAATAAAAAAAGAATATCGGAAAATGTGAGAACTGAGAGTACAGAATTGTTTGACAAGGAATACTTGAAAAATAAGAATTTGTCGATTCTGACAGACAACGTGCCTGATTTTTACGTAGAGAAGACTATTGTTAGAATGAAATTAAGTGAGAGAGGGGTGAAGAATATTGCTAGTCCTTCCAGAAGATCTTTCCGCGACTACGTTATTGTGGCCAACGAAGAGAAGCCCGTGACACCGATCTCGAAGAATCTGGATCGTATTAGCAATCCTGAAAGCGTGAAGGAGAATAACCTGTCGTGGAAAAATTATAATACGTGGTACTTGAAGATTAGGCGGCTGGTTTTGAAGAGTCTTCGCAACAAAGTGTATCCTTGTATGGTGACAGGGTGAGTTGATGAAGAACATTGATCCTTCCGGAATATGGAAATATTTTTCAGTGTTTTAAAATGACCTTGAATTTTCTTGGAAATTTTTTTTCTACAAAGAAATTTCATGGTTCGAAATGAAATTTCTCGGCGACGTTGTAAATATTGAAGATTTTCAAAATAAGCTAAAAATGAAAATTTCGAAAATTAAAAATTAAAAATTTGCATGGTTTTAAATTTTCTTGGAAATTTGTTTTCTGTGAAATAATTTCAGGGTTCGAAATGAAATTTCTCGGCGACGTTGTAAATATTGAAGATTTTTAAAATAAGCTAAGAATGCAAGCTTCGAAAATTAAAAATTAAAAATTTGCATGGTTTTAAATTTTCTTGGAAATTTGTTTTCTGTGAAATAATTTCACGGTTCGAAATGAAATTTCTCGGTGACGTTGTAAATACTGAAGATTTTCGAAGTGAGCTGAAAAAGTGAGCTCCGAACACTTCAAATTTTTAATTTTCTTGAATCTTTCGGTCGAAAGTATTCGCGTTCCAAAATGAAATTTCTCGAGCAGCGATGGAAATTTTCGAGGTTTTATTAAGGTGAATTAGCAAGAAGAGTAGCAACGTACAAAATTCGTATGTTTCCACGTGGAACCGTATGAATGAACCATGGCAACTTCGATCAATAGGCCGTCTGGTTATTATGTAGTCGCAATCGCATTAGCTATTAATGTATGTGAATTCACACGTGGTGTGTTGATCCTTTTGAACTCGCTGGCCCGTAAATGATTTAAAATAACTCGATTAACAAATCTATTTGCGCGTTCGGCGGAATTATCGTCGCGTTGACTTTGCTAATCGATGGTGCTTCTATGTCAGCATTGGAAATAAAATGAAAAATGATATGTCGGATGATATCGATTCTTGATAGTTTTAAATTATCAGTATCAATTTTGTTCTCAATCTTGCGATTGACTATTTACCGAGTTTTATCACGATTAAACAGATAGGTGACAGATAAATATTACGTATCTTACAATGCTGCTGAATGTAAATTTTCATAGTTTTTAATTTTTAACAGATTTCTGAATTTTTATTACAGTAGTTTGTAATTTTTCTTTCGACAAATGATTGTACCTGAAGTAGCAATTTTCTTGTTCGTTCTAAATCTAAATTCTCGTATTTCACACGTTTTGAAATAATTTAGTCTTTTAAAAGGAAACTTTTTAACCTGAAATCTACGAATATTTCTCGATTAGTGCTCTAAAGTATCAAAACAATGCATCTAAATATGTACCGTAATTCCTTAAATTACCTAATGTTTAGGATTTAATAATTAGATTCCATAATTTTTTAGAATTAAATACCATAATTTTGTAGAATGAAACACCACAATTTTTTTACAATTAGATACCATAATTTTGGTAAATTAAATACCTTAATTCTTAATAGTTAGATACCGCAATTTTTTCAAATTAAGTACCACAATTCTTTATAATTAGGTATCACGGTACCTAAAATTGAATACGCACGATGCACTTGTGCATGAAACACTTAACAGCGGCACTGAAAGGGTCACGATTGTCGAATCAATTGTTTCGTCTACTGGCATCGTCTTTATCCATCGTACAGACAAAGAAACGTAGATAAATCGACGGATGTAAACGGTGATAATGCACTTCTCACGGTGTAGGTTAGGAAGTGCACGTGGTAAGGGAGTTTAAAGACCCTCGTAGCTGGAAAACCCGATAGTCGTTGTTTGAACAGGGAAACCGGCGTGGGTGAGTCATCGGAGTACACGACAGCGTGGTGTAACGCTTGCGTGCACACCGCCGCGAATAATGATAGTCGAAATAATAGTTGGATCGTTGGTGCTCGGGGAATATTTAATTTTCACTTGGAGACGCAGTGGAGGGGCTTTCGAACACACCTGTAGTGTTCAAGTGATCAAAGTGGCACTACGAGGCGGTTCGATTAGGTAAGATAGTTTTGGAGAAAATGATTGGTAGAGTGATCGAGGCTTGTTAGATTTCAGATTAGAGTATTCAGGTTTGTTTCATTTGTTCGGGTGAAATAATGCAAGAAATGGTAAATATAAGAGAAAAGATTGCGAAATTTTGTCGAAATTGAAAAATTGAAAATATCCTGGTAGAAGTGGGATGAGTGAAAAGTATATATAGTTGATTATGGTGACTGAGATTTGAGTGTAGTGGACAGCATACTAATATAGAGATAAATTTAGAAATAAGTTTGATGAATTTCTTGGGGTTAAATGCTAAAAGAAATAGTAAATATAGTCTAAATAGGCAAAATTGAAAATTGAAAATATTGCACAGCAAACACGAGAACGTACAAAAATTGACAGTTTCAATTCTTATTATCCTTTAGCTAAGATTATGAAGAGAAAGTGTTGTGAAAAGTGGTTCAAGCAGGAAAAATTGAAAATATTGCACAGCAAACATGAGGACTCAGAAAATTGACACTGTTTCAATTCCAATTATTTTTTAGCTAACATTATTAAGAGAAAATGTTGTGAAAAGTGGTCCAAATAGGAAAAATGGAAAATTGAAAAGTTTGCACAGCAATCTGACGACAAGAAGAATTGACACTGTTTCAATTCTTTTTATTCGTTAGCCAACATTATGCTTCAGGAACTTAAATTTTCATAATTGAACGAAATTGAATGATGTTTCGAGTAGTTGCAGCGATAGAACGACTGGAAAATACAGAAAAAGAATAAAATTGAAAAATTCAATTTCTATTAATTTTCTGAAAATCTGTGAATGTTAGAAGGTAGTTGGCCTCGCTTATGCCTGCCGACAATACGAGACGTCGCGGTGCACAATAGTTTCTAATTACGTATTACTCAAGGGCCCCGTTCGAACTTCATTCAGCCCTAAGTACAAGGTACGTGCGTCGAGAGACTGTGTGCGCGACAGGATCTTGCGCAGAACGTGCGTAATGGACTTCCTGCGTGCACCGAACCTGAACACGCTGGTCTCCACACTCTGCTATTGGACATGGCTTTTTCTCCTTCCTGGAAACGACCATTTTCATGCGACCCGTGAGCCTTGAATCGAGAGGTGATTGTCTCTCGATTCGTGCCAATTCTTCTTTTATGCTCGATTTTACGTCAATAATTAGGCTATTGATATCCTCGATGAAAGATTTTTTCACCCAATATGTGGAATCTTAGAGAAAATTATATTAGTAAATTTCAGTTAAAATAAAATATTTCAAGTAAATATTATTTGAAAAATGTGAAAGAAGGAAGATTAGAATTTGAAGAAGGAACAGTGGTAATTATTTTAGAGTTAATTTGGTTTGTAAATAGTTGTGGTTCATATATTTACTAAATTTAGTTTTTAATTACAAGTTTGTAACTTGTTTAATCCAGCCTCGATAGTAGGAAATTTTTTCATACACTCCTGACACTACAGCACAATTTAGACCGAAAGATACCACACCGTAAATAGTGTTTTTATTTGCCAATGGCCCTCCTGAGTCACCGTAACAAGAATCTTTTCCGTATGCTCCGTAACAGAGATGGTATTCTTTTTTAACGAGTGCTTTGTACTCTGGAGTTTCGTTTACGCAACTTTCGTATGGTGTATGACGAACGTAGACACCCGTTAGAACGTTGTTAATTTTTGGCTGTTGAAGAAATCCTTTGTAAATTTCAATATTCGAATATTCGGAAATACGAATACTTGAGAATTCAAACGGTCGAAAATTTGAGTATATGAATGTTTGAATATCTAAGTATTTGAAAATTTAAAAAATTCGAATATCTGAAAATTTGACTATTTGATAATTTGAATATTTCGAAGTTTGCATATTTGAAAATTTGCATATTCGAAAATTGGAGTATTCGAAAATTCGGAAATTTGCATATTCGAAAGTTGGAATATTCGAAAATTTGAAAAGTTGAGCATTCGAAAATTCGAAAATTTGCATATTCGAAAATGTGAAAATTCAAAAACTTGAGACTTTGAAAACTTGGAAACTTGAAATATAGATTTAACAATACTTCATCCTTCCAAGTTAAGCATTGATTCACAAAGTTTCGAATTTGAAATGGTCCACTGTTTCAACCCAAGAATCCGAATTCGAGTATCTAATTGAAAAGAGAAACGAAGTTTTAAACCCAAACTCTATACCACAAAGCACGATTAGAGATCAAGACACTCACATTGGTTTGAGAAGCGGTGTAACCCCAGCCACAAACGTACAGTTTGCGAGGTGGTTTGCTGAATTCGCTTGGCAATCGAGCCGCTCGAACTGTACTTGAGTATCGAAAGGGAGGTTGCACTTCGAACAGAGCTATATCGTGGTACAGCATACTCGAGAACCAGTATTGGAACGTGGTATCGTTATACACATGTATCTTTGTTAATTTATGCAACGTTCCTCCGTCGTAAGGTTTGCTCGAGCCAGCTCGTACAAAATAATTCATCGTCCCTTCTGAACTTCTAAATATTCGTAGAATTACAACATAAAAACTGTACACGCTAAATCATCACTGTATAGTCGTCTACGTATCAAAAGGAAAATTATAATACGTAATATACGAAACAAGAAATTACGAGTTTCGTGAATTTTTAATTCTAAACAAACGTTTTATACGAATTAATTTTGTAATTTGATGGGAAAAAATAGAACTTACAGACAATGAAGAGCAGTAATACCCCAATTTCGAGACAGAATACTGGCACCACATACGAATCCTCCAGGATTATGCAAAGAAAGCTAAAATTTGCCATTATTATTTTTAGAATATTTATCTGAGAAATTAAAGAATTCTACAGACCATGAATGGTCGATGTTTTATGCTCACTGGACGTCCACCGATAATTTTTGTTGTCGCCGTGCAACACACATTTTCTATGTTTATTGTGATAGCAATACCTGGATACACGAAGAATAATTCTTTTTGTATGTTTCAAAGGAACGATTATGAACAGCAGAAGAACAACTTACACGTTAAGTAGAAAATGGTAGATTCTGCGTGCATTTCTACTGGTAACTTGAGCAAGTATGTTTAATAAATCTGTGTGACAAACAGAACGCTTTGTATCTTCAGAAGCTATAAACGTCACGTAGCAATGAATTTTGCCAACGTATCGCTAGCAATTATTGCTATTATTATCTTACAAGAGCACCGGCTGGATAAGTGAAAAAGTTCAAAAAATGAGTCGACGCAATCTCATTGATTTATACTAGGATCTTTGAGAAATATGCATACTTTGTAATAACAGTCTTAGTAAAAGATGTATTGACAAAAATTCTCTGTCTGGCACAAAAGAATTTTCTATTCGTTTTATAATAAAAATGCAGATAATTAACACTCTTTTAAGTGTTTGAAAAGTAGAAAAAAAACTACACTAACTATAAAATTAAAGAACTATATAATAAAAATTATCAAGGAGAAGGGGAAGTACACGTTCGTTATCAGAATCAAATTTTATTTCTTACTACTTTTAAATGCATTGCAATTACGATTAAACAACATTAAAATTCACACTGTAACCACACTAACTATGACTATTTATTTAGTACTAAGTGTAACCAAAATCTTCGCTGTATCAATCATTTTCGACAAAAATTAATCCGGTCGAATTTTCACGAAATTCGAGAACAAAATATTCGCGTGAAATCAGATCGATAAGTTTATCGTGATCCAAA